TACTTCGTTACTTCCCATCTCTGCCGATTATATCGTGCATCCCTAATGTTTTCCTCTCTTGGTTCACGTAATCTAGAAGGATTGTAATATCAGCTGTATTAATTCACACCAACCTTTGAATTGGTGCCATGTGGGTGCGTGTGTTTGTGTTTGGTTATTAGACTCGCAGCCAGGTTGTCTGAAAAATGTAATAGAGAAAGAATACCTAATTCTGAAAGTATATATGCTCATAAATCACAACCATAAATCAGCAAAACTACTTATAATAACTATCTGAAAATATAAAGGTCTCCTATCGGTTGTAAAACATCTTCAGGTGTAAATATGTAAATATAGGAACAACAGTTGACTCTTCCAAAACATCTGGCTGCCCACCTGTATCCCATACTCTATTATAAAGCTAAGGAATCATTTTCTTACCCCTCATAATCTTTTTAACATGCCATATGTTATCCGATCTCTCCCTGGTATTGACTCTTTATTTCTTTATTCAATTCAACCATAGAAAAAGACACATTTATTAAATCGTCCCTACCATCTTCACTGCTTTGGACATTATATGCTCTATTCTGTATTGTAATACCTCTCTGGCTAACTTAGCTTTACTGTGCACTTTAGGGTTCTGACTAAGAGCTCTGCTTTATCTACATTCTCAGTTATTAATACTTCTCCATCTCTTAATACTGGGTATCCAACATCTCTCCTATTCCAACTATTTTTTTTATTTGTACTCCATACTTTACATAATGGTGTAGTTTGTCCAATTGACTCACAATATCTATTCCAATATACTTTCTTTGCTTGTTTAATGATTCTTCAAACAACACCCTGAAGTTGTTTATAAGCAATTAGATTCAAAAAATTCATAGTCCTCATTTAACACTCTAAATGCCTTATTCCTACTTCTTAGTCCACCATGGAACAATATTTCTCCTTATAGTACCCTTACTCCTTGGATTGTTACCTGAGCAGCAGCTAGGATTGCTTTACTTATATCTGCATTTAGCTTGTTAACCCCATAAACTAATTTAACTTATTATAACTTTTCATCTGCAATGACAGAAAACAGCCCAGTCTGTCTGCTTTAATTCCCATACACCCACATTTCATTCCTGCAAATCTTTACAGCTATGAATCTCTTCCAAAACTGGAAAATGATCACCGCCAACAGTGCTGTCTGAACCACTTCCAATTGATTATTCCTGCTTAATTCTGTGATTCTAATGTCAGATCAAACACTGACTTTGTTCCTTCTGCTGCATTAACCCTTGTCCCTAACTCATCATTTCAACACACTAATTTGTTATCATCCAAAACCTCCTCTGTCACTTCTCCATTAATATCACTATCCATCCCCATAAAGTACTATGTGCATTAAAGTCACCACAGCAAATTACATTATCCCACCTTTCTACCATAGTGACATAGCAATACAATGATCCAAGTGTCATAGGCTTTATTGTAATCAGTCCAGGCAGTGCTTAGGTTAGTGTTTCGGGTTCGGCAGTCTTAAGCAACTGGTCCATCTACCAGGAGTTGGTGTTTGGCAGCTCTGGTGTTTTTGCCAATTCCCTTCTGAGCTGTGCTCATGTATTGATCCATGTGCCCGCTTATCTTAGCTGCTATGATCCAGGACCTGAGCTTCCATGTTGTGGAGAGGCAGGTTATGGGGCGATAGTTGGACGGTACTGTACCCTTTGAGGAGTCCTTCAGGATCAGGATTGTGCACCCTTCGTTTAGCTATTTAGGGTTGTTCCCATCTCTCAGCAGCTGGTTCATTTGTGCTGCCAATCGTTTGTGGAGAGCCGTGAGTTTCTTAAGCCAGTAGGTGTCTATCATGTTGGGGCCTGGTGCTCTCCAGTTTTTCATGCCTGAGACTCTTTCTTGGATGTCTGCCACTGTGATGGTGACTGGATCCTGTTCAGGGAGGTTGCTGTGGTCCTCTCAGAGCTACCAGCCACTGTGCCTCCCTGTTTTGTGCTGCCTCTTTCCTCCATATGTCTTTCCAGTACCGTTCCGTGTTCGGTGGGGTTGTTCTACTATTGTCCCCCTGCCACTAAGCGTACACTTTCCCTGGTTGAGTTGTGAACAGACGTTTACCCGTCTGGCTTCATTGTCTCTTGTTTATCTCTTTAGGCGGCTGGTTGAGGCTTGGAGTCTTTGTTTGGCTGTTTCCAGTGCCTCAGGTATGGGCATCTGGCTATACTTGCTCTCAGACATCCTTAGCATTTAGCCTCGGTGGTTAGGGTTACATATATATATATATATATATATATATATATATATATATATATATATATATATATATATATATATGTATACACACGACGTTTCAAAGGTTTGGGGTCACCGAAACAATTTTGTGTTTTCCTGAAAAGTCGCACTTATTCACCACCATACGTTGCGAAATGAATAGAAAATAGAGTCAAGACATTGTCAAGGTTAGAAATAATGATTTGCATTTGAAATAAGATTTTTTTTTACATCAAACTTTGCTTTCGTCAAAGAATCCTCCATTTGCAGCAATTACAGCGTTGCAGACCTTTGGCATTCTTGCTGTTAATTTGTTGAGGTAATCTGGAGAAATTCCCCCCCCCCACGCTTCCAGAAGCAGGTTGCATGGGCTTCTTGCGTCCCATACGGTCAAGCTGCTCCCACAGCAGCTCAATGGGGTTCAGATCTGGTGACTGCGCTGGCCACTCCATTACCCATAGAATACCAGCTGCCTGCTTCTGCTCTAAATAGTTCTGCACAATTTGGAGGTGTGTGTAGGGTCATTGTCCTGCTGTAGGATGAAATTGGCTCCAATCCAGCGCTGTCCACTGGGTACGGCATGGCGTTGCTAAATGGAGTGATAGCCTTCCTTATTCAGAATCCCTTTTACCCTGTACAAATCT